CAGACTGGCGCATGAACACATTTCACCCCACTATAGTTGGCAATAAGGCAGCCTTGAAGTTTTATTTTCTGCTACAAGAAGGCTGAATGTCAATGACATGTGTCTCTTTGATTTGACTGTAAGAGGAAAATGGTGTGAAATACTGAAGACGGATGTCTCCACTGTAACTAAACAGCACTGCATAAAGTTGCTTAATTTGCTGAAAATAAGTTTTATTTTCTACAGAGCAAACGGGAAGTTTCTGAGAAACAGACGAGGGCATAAAGATCACGAAGAGCACCGAAACAGGAAGGACGCTGTGGAGTCTGAGTGGTGCGTTTATGTAGAGCGTGAGTGTGATTTTGTGACTTTGTGGTCTGCTGCTGTGTTAACATAACTTCTCACAAGCGGAGCACACTTCAGTTCCTCCTGGGCTGCGCGTCTGTCTGCAGGAAACGCATTACACTGCCGGACACCCAGAATGCAGGTAAGGGCGCTTGTTTCGGCAAAGATTCTTGCTTCAGTTCCCCCTCTGTTTCATTTGACGTGTGTACAGAAACCTTAGCTAGAGAGAGACATGTAAAGTTAAGACTAATGAGACCACAAACATCTGCCCAGTCTCATACAATTAGCGGTGAGTCTGTAGGGGTTTTTTTTTTTTTTTTTGGTGACTGGGGTAAACTGGTTTTAGAGTACACAGGAAAAACAAAAAAAGCAACCGCTAACAGATGAAATATGCAGCATCATGCAATATCGCTAATACTGTAAACCTGTAAAGTGCAAGGTAAAGTGTTAAAAAACAGACAAAGAAATCTAATTTCATGATATCATATATTATTTTTTAGCTGTTTTGGACCTCACAATTACACCACGTGATCTTTACAGGTATGCGTTCATACATTTTCCTACCAGAAACTTGTGATTCAGTGCAGTTGCATTTATACAGCACCCCATGAAACTGTTGCCTTGAGGTGCTTTATATTGTAAGGTAAAGTAAAGTAAGCACTTGGTGATGGTGGGGAAGAAGAGACCTCCAACAGAATCAGGCTCAGGAAGGGGTGGCCATGCTGTGACTGGTTGCAAAGCGATGGGAAAAAAGACCAAAAAACAGGATAAATAATTCAATGTAAATATTAATACATGTTTAGCTATAAATGCATGGGGAGTGGAAAAGAAGTGCACAGTCCATCATGGGAAGTCCCCCAGCAGCCTGAGGTATAGCACACATCTATACCACCTACTAAACAGTGGAACATGACGCCCACAGAGATGTTGTATACTCAACTTTGGTATCAACATATTCATGATCAGCATGTCCAGGATATCTTTGCCTTGTCTTCACAGAGATGAAACGCAGTGTAAATGCTGAGGACAAGTGAAGTTTAAATATCAAAACAGAACTCGGACCAGGAAGTCCGCTTAGCCTACTTGCAAGGTCAGCAATTATAAAATGTCTTGCTATAGCAACCATGATTTAAGGCATGCTTAACACAAAAAATCTTTGTAATCTTACAGGAAACACACACACAGAAAATCAGTGTTTCCTGTAAATTATGCTTGCTAATTAAGGAAAGACATCAGACTGTCTCTAAAACCTACAGACTCTCCTACTACCTGCACACTAACAACTGAATTTACATAATTTACACAGAAGTGACTGGACAGTACATGGAGACTTCTGCATACTACTATGACACATGAATTACCACCCCCGTTAGAAGTGAAAGGTTAAACCTGAAGTTTCCCCAATAACATATACAGAACTGTGATGCCCCTCCCTGCCCTATCCTATTTGTGTGAATGTGTTAATATTCATGAAACCAACATCCACACTGTGATATAAATGAATACATAACTTCATTTCCTCTTCCTTTCTGTTTGTGTGAGTGTATGTAACATCAGACAGCTGACATGAGAAAGTTGTCAGCTGCTGCAGGTCTCTCTTCCATCCTGTCTGGCAGCAGTCTTCTTTGCTGTTTGCTAGTTTTGCTAGTTTTGGGTAAATACCTAATTTTCTACTTAAGCAAAGCTTCTTGCCACATACCATGCGCACATTTAAGATGAATGGGGGCTCATCCCGGATATTCACACCACGTTAGTGTTTGGGTCATTGTTGAAAACCACCTTTCCTTGCCGTTGCTAAATGCTAAATTAGGTAGAATGGCTTTCTTGGGTCAGGCTTAACATTTTGTTTCGATGTGTTATTTGAAGCAACTGTGAGTTAAGTTTAGTTGTGGTAAAAGAGCAGCTTAAGTTCCTATTTTTGTTCCTATTTTTGTTTGGTACATATACTCATCTGTTCTCTTTTATAACCACATAAGTTCACGAGTCATGTATTCCTTTAGTAGGTTTACTTGAAGTGAGCTTTTAATGCTGGTAAAACTGGTGTGTAAATACCCGTCATGCATATCTGTCCGGAATCAAGGTTTGGGATTAGTGTGGGTGGATTACCTGGGACTTGTTGTTTTTGTTTGTTTGTTTGTTTTTCATTTTACATTGAATATATGGTTACCCTATTCAAGAAAAAAACAACTATTTAATGCTCACGTTCATGGTCTTCATGCCTTTATTACTCCAGCATAGCTCTCCTCACTTACCTGTCTCACCTACCTGTCACTTCCTCTGTGGCCTGGCTGTGGCTGTGTCCCAATTCAGGGTCCCAATTCACGCTTGAAGTACGCGCACTACGCGTACTACGTACGGTGCGTACTATAAGTACGAGAAGTGCGGAAGTGAGAGGCTTGTGAAATGGGACGTTCCAGCCTTCGTCGTGCTGTTCAGGTTGCCTAACAACCATGATACTAACCGCGAGAAACGTTACATACAGCTTTGTGTGACAGAAATGAAGGAGAAAAAATGTTTTGTTGGTCATTCATTTTTGTCATGACATCACTTTGATTAGTTGAGTATCTGAGGCTGAGACCACAGGACTGTAAAACATGATTGTTGGGCTTCATTCCTGTACTGAACAGTCATTTCAAGATTAGTTAAATGGGTCATACTGGGCAGAAAGTATACAAACACATAACATCCTTATAGCCTATGGAGCCAGTTGTTTCTTGGCTCTTTCCTTCTCGAGGAAAATACTTTAAATAACACAAATAGAAATTAAGAAATGAACAAATAAACCCTAAACTAATATTCTTATTTCAGAGCTTATCCCAGGGTTAGGGATAATACTGATGAAGACTTACACCTGGTAGTGACATAAATTTTGGATAGAAAAGAGACAGAATTTATTCAAAACATAGACAAAATTCAAAACCTTTGCCCACTGGGGCAACAGGGGCCAAACTTCACTTTGAGTGAAGTTTGGCTCATGTGAGAAGAGAGCAGCATTAGTTCCTATTTTTGTTTGGTTCACATGTTTTTTTGTTCTCTATTGTAACCACATAAGCGTATGAGTCGTGCATTTCTTTGGTAGGTTGACTTTGGGTGTTAACTTTCTGTGCTGATAGAATTGCAGAGCATTAATGTTAGTGATATGAGAGTTAAGATTATATCACAGATGTTACAGAGTAAAATGTCCCAGTTGGGAAACTTGCCATGCAGATAATGCAGCATACGAAACGCACTAAATACCCCACTCTGTCAGTATAAATATACTAAAAAAGGTCAGAAAAACACAGAAAAATGACTATTAGTGCCACCTTTGAGGGGGTTAAACAAGCAAACCCCAAGGACGGTAAGGGTCCACAATGGCACTCTGCACCTTTGAGATGGTCCAAATTTCAGATATGCTGAAGGTTATCATGGTGGCACCTCTGATCGCATTCCACAGGTCGACTTTTTTTCTAGTTTGTTTTGAAACCAACAAATAAAAAAATGAAAGTTTACGAAAACAAAAAAGGAAGAAAACGTTGCTCTGATGGCTTTTGTGACAGATGCTCTTCAGTGGGGTGGGTAGAAGTCCAACAACAAAACCCAAACCCTTGCGAGCATAACAGCTCAAGCATTGTGTCTACAGGTACAATTATGTTTTGAGATGATTCTTCAAGCAGTCTGGCAGAAAAACTATCAACATGCATCATTTCTAAGTCATCACTGATCCTAATAAAAGTTTTAAAAAAAAGAAAGTTTTATCTTATGACAAAGTGCCTTGCTTGTTCTCTGCTGTTATTAGAATACCACAAATTATCTGTCAAGACTTCCCGAAACCTGTTTTTATAGAAAATGAAAGGGCAAACTCAACAAAGAAAGAATGAAACAGTCTCATCTGTATGAGTTGATCAAAAGAGACAGAAAAGCAGCTCAATGATGTTGTTTATTCTAAAATTAGTGCCAAAACCGAACATCAGAGTGTGCAGATAAACCAGCAAACAGTGGAATTGGGACAGCATGATTTAAAAACATTTGCACTACCCGGGCTTTTGTATTTTCAGGACACACTGGGGTCTACAGAGAAGATCAGGAGTCTGTTTGAAAACTCATAAATACCAAATCAGGAAACCAAAAGTGGCTGAAGATAGGATGACCACTGCACCGAGGCTCTGTGGGTTTCAGCCTGCTGCTCACAGCTGCAGGCAGCCAGGCAGCGTGGGACATTTGACAAATGTGACAAAAATATACAAATTTACTTAACTGCTTGTTAGGTAAAACTAAAATAAGTTTCAATCAATAAAATAATGTTAAAAGTAAATTAAAAATGGAAATACAGGAAGATAAACTGCAAGAAGAACAGACAATAAAAATCTGTCTAAAAAGATAAATGTATAATTTAATAAGGAGCTGAATAAATAAAAATGCATATACAATAAAATAAAGGTCAACATTTTAAAACAATAGAGGTAAAAATAAATACAGGTGAATAAGTTAAATATTGTACATTAAAGTGTCTCAGGTCTTATAGCTGAAGAAATAACTCAATAAATCCAATAAAGCAAGCAGCTCTGAAATTAGTAAAAATAGTTGTCCAGTTGTCTGAGTACATGTGAGGCCCCTAGGGAGCGTCATTGTTGGTTGGCTCCTCCCTCTGATCTGAAGATCTGAACCTGTAACCTGCCTTCCTCCTTCTCCTGCAGAGTCTGCAGCCATGAGTCGGCGTCGGGTTTCGGTCAAAGACCTGGGAGCGGTGGACTGTCAGGGCTGGCTGCACCGGAAGAAGGAGAGCCGTAGCTTCCTGGGAAGCAGATGGAAGAGATACTGGTTTGTCCTGCAGAGGAGCTCTCTGTACTGGTACAGTGACGAGATGGTGAGCCACAGTTATCTCACAGTTAAGCCCTACAGCTCAAACAACGTGCAGTAAAATTCAGGTCTGACATGTGCGATTAGCATCAGAAAATCTGTTCCCGGTTTGCGGAGCCTTTGCAAAACATGAAGGAGCACTGTATTCCTAATCTTGGACTCTATTAGAGTAGCTTTGCATGATTCATAGTTCAAAATAATCCTTCTTTATCTTATACTCCTCATTTGATCCTCTGTCCTTATTTGAGGAGCCCACCCTACCTTGAAGCTAGCTTGATTCTGATTGGTTGCCCCTCTTAAAAAGGTTTAAAAAGAAGTAGGGTGGGGCTTTTGGTGTCTGAGTTGACCATATTACCTAACTCTGTGACATCACGCAGAGATAAAAAGTAGACCTAAATATCTGAGTGCTGAAGCTCACGATGTTTAGCTGTACACACAGTGACCTCGTGAAACTTTCGGATACAATGTGTCAGACAATTGCATGAAAGTTGCTCCAAAAGCCATGAACATGCCCAAGATATCTAGTTTAATGGCTTTAAAAAGTGGAGGGGAGCTCTAAATAGATTTTAAGTGGGTGAGTTATGCATGAAAATAACCTTTGCAGATGAAGTCCAAACTGTTGTTGAAGCAGGTTTTAACATGGGAGTCTGTGGGGCCTGACTCACTGTTGAAGTGAGCCTTAGAGGAAGTGCTGCCTGTGTGTGACACACATGACATCTTTTAGAAAAATAAATAACTAAATTACGTGGTTTTGAAATTTTTTAAGTTTCTACTTTGATACAAAAACATTAATATTCCATATAAATGGGTTTAAATAGAAACATTTCTTATATGTTAAAAATCATATGTTAATCCCTTTATCTCTGTGAAGCTGTAAATTTAAATAAGCATATAGTCAAACCACACTAAGACACAAAGTAGGTCAAACTGCAACCAAACAGACAGATAGAGCACAGTCCACAGCGATGTGCATCCTCTGGCTCTGACCACTGACACTTTGCTGAGATCACACAGGAACCTGAGATACAGACACGTTGTTTTCTGCAGACTTCACTGCATTAAAGTGTTTCTCATCAGGTTTTCTGAGCTCTTTTTGCTCCTCTCTGCAGGCTGAGAAAGCTGATGGATTCATCAACCTGTCAGGCTTTACCATCGAACAGGCCAAAACCTCCAGGAAGAAATAGTATGATATGTTTTTTTTTTTTTATTTTCCCCTCTTAAACCACAAGACTTACTCAGCTGTTTGTGCACCCTCTGTTGCTAAAGCATCTTAAAAAAATGTCTCAGTAGTGAGAAATCCGCTGCAAGGCATTTGTTTTCCATATCTTCACCAACTGCTTTATATAGCGCATTGAATTTATCATTACTTTGCTCTGTGTTGTGTTTCAGTGTCATAACAGCCAGTCATCCTAATGTAGTGACGATTACTATTGGTGCTGAGAGCTACATAGAAATGAATAAGTGAGTACTTTTAACCCATTTTTATTATTTTATCATATGTAATTTTTAAAAAGTTGACCGATTCTGCTTCTCTTTATTTCCTGTCATTGACTGCGTACAGTTACAAGAATGAATTCTTCTATAAAATATGACTTTTGACAGTTTTTATACACTTGGTGCTGAATGATGTTATAGAGATTTGGATAGAGATGCCCCTCCCATCTACTGTTTAAACCTTACACATGGAGCAGCCAATCAGAGGTTGGCTTAAAGGGGGTCAGTTCAGTCTGGTAATGCATGTCATGCTGGAAATCAGCATCTTAGGCCCACTCCGAGGGTTTATACCAGCAGAAAATGTCATTATAACTTTTCAAACTGATCCACATAAGGCAGGAACTGTTGAGATTTTGCAGACATGCTTGTCTCAGAATGTCCTCTCCTAACTTTAGTGCCTCAGTCTTATAGAAAAGAGTGAAGCCTCGAGTTAGTGACATTTGCACTTCAGCCAGTGGTGGCTGAGAAACTTTACTCTGAACTAATAAGTATCGCTATTCTGTGTCAGAAAGTACAGTCATTTCCTCTTCCCGTCCTTTTAATGTCATCTTTCTTTTTATTGATTCATTGCAGTACACCGTGTAGTATGTTGCATGTTGTGTGTCATTTGTAGAGTATAATGCAGTGCGTGTGTCCAGGTGGATCAGTAAACTGACAGAAGCAGCTGAACTAGATGAGGCAATCAACAGTGAAGGTGAGAGGATTAAAAATACCAAAATGATGAGGGTGACACAGCTGCAGTCTGAAGTTTTCACACACTCATGAGCGTGACTGTCAGGGTAACTCTGGCTTTTAATAATGTCTTTGAACTCTTCAAATCAAACATAACATTATGACCACTGACAGGCGACATGAATAACCCTGATCATCATGGTGGCAACTGTTAGTGGGTGAGGCACATACGGGTGAACATTTTGTTCTCAGAAACTGGCAAACATAAAGATTTGAACAACACGGGCCAAACCGTCATAGCCAGACGTCTGGGACAGAGCATCTACAAACCCGCAGCTCTTGTGTGATGCTTCTAGTCTGCAGCGGTCAGTTTCTGTCAAAAGGGTTCCAAGGAGGGAACAGTGGTGGACCAGTGACAGGGGCCAAGGCTAAATTATGCACGTAGGGAGCAAAGGCTGGCCTGTGTGGCCAATCCAGCAGACAAGACGTTGTAGCTTAAATTCCTGAAAAAGTTTATGCTGGTTCTGATAGAAAGGTGTCAGAACACACATGGTCTGCATAGTTACAGACCAGTCAGGGTGCCCATGCTGGCCCCTGTCAACCACAAAAAGTAAAGAAGCCTGCAAATTCTTCAACATTGCCTCAACTCTACATTTGAAACTTGTTGAAACTGACACATTTGGGTTCTCCTGTGGGACAATGATCCCAAAAACATTAAAACTGATTAAATCAAATTAACATTAAGCTTTTAGAATGGCCTTCCCAAAGCCCTGACCTCAGCCCTAATTAAAATATGTGGATACACTCAAAAGCTCAAAAGTCCTGTTTTTTCAGAGTCATTAGAGATGTGTGCTGTGCAATCCTTCCACTGTGGAAAAAGAACTGTGCAGAGAAATCATTAATGCCAAAAAATACCATGACATACTCACGATGAGTGTCTGTAAACTTCTGACCACAGTTACTTCCCACTAACATATCTCTCTTACTACAAACTTTTCACACACTGTGCACCATCTTCTTTTCTTTGATTATCCCAGCTTTCCTTTCCATCTTTACACATTTGGTTTTCTAAAATTTCTTTGCTCATTCCTGTCCCTTTCACCCACCTTCCTTTTAAAGAAGGAAGGTGGTATTTATATATGAAATAAATTATATAAATATATGAAAAGGGTATTTTTCCCTTTTTCATATATTTTTTTTCCTTGAAACACTTCCTCTCCCTTTCCCATTGCTACATCTTCCTTTCCAGTTTTCATTCCTTTTTTCCCATTTACCCTTTCCCTTACCCTTTCTCAGTTTTTCCTTCTTTTTCATTTTTTTCTTTAAATCATTCTTTCACTCTGATTTTCATCACCTCTTCACATGTGTCTTCCCATTTCTTGTCTCATGTTATCTCTTTCACTGATCTGTTGGTCCTCTAGTTTTGTTCACACGTCATCTATTTATTTTTTGCTTTGCTGCTTTCCTTACATTGTCTCTATTTATGCATGTGTGTGCAGAGCGCTACAGTGAGGGGAGTGATCAGGATGAAGAAGACTTGTCGTTTTCTTCTCTTGACTCTCAGCTGGATTCAGTGGCCACCCAAAATGTAAGTAAATGCATGAAGTCCATAGAAAAGAGCTTAATGTGAAGGTAAAATAGGCACTAGCCACACCGTAGATGGGGTAATACATGTGGGAACAAATGGTCTTTGGGCTGCAGCATTTTTAGCTGCAGTACCACAAATGACCACTGAGGAAAACTCTGTTTGTTCAGGCTGTTGTATTGATTTTGATTGATTCGATTTGAAACCATAGTTGGTAACACCAGTTTCTGAAATACCTTGGCATTAGTTTGGGGTGTCATCATGATGCCCATCTTTATGTACACTGATCAATAACATTAATACAAGCTGCACTCTGTGCATGATGAGGCCAAAGAAGCTCTAACCTGTGATGTCACATCCACCGGCACAAGCCGTTGTTTTGGTGTTGTTTAAGCCAGTGGTGCATCTCTCAATTTTGTGTAAGACTGTGTCGGTTTTCTAACCCCAACCCTTTCTGAAAACAAAAAAACCTCAAGCTCTGTGATTAGTTTGCGTTCAGTTTTGACTTCCTGTAACAGCGCTGATGTGGAACTTTTGACTGAATGGGAAAACCTATTGTTCAGAAAGATACTGTGGTGGGTACGCACGCTGTAAATGCTGGTTTAAATGGTAGCTGTGGCTATATCACCATCAGTATTTGAAGCAACCTGTGCTGGTGTGTGTATTGGGGCACTAAGAGCTTCTACCCAGCTCCTAGGCCTTGTTCCAGATTCAGATCTTCATCTGGAATTCCCTCTCAATTTGGATTTCCTATTCATAAAGTTGGAGCAGCCCAACTAACCCAAAGTTAACAGTGGCAGCAGTGAATGATACATGATTGGCTCTACCTCTCTAAGAACCGAAACAAGTCCTTCTTTTCCAACCTTGCATTCACTGTAATTCTCTTCCTTTAATAATTCCTCCAACCCTCACAGAATCCCAGCTCGAACTTCACTTAATTATTCCAGCACACTGATTTCAGATAATCTCAGGATCTTGGCAAGAAAAGCGACTTCTTTGAGTTTCTTTAAGTCTTTACTGTACATCTTTGCTGATTTGATGAAAGCTGGCATAACCTTTACATTTGTGTGCTCCTTTTCTTTCCCTGATGCCTTAGAGCATAGGTGTCAAACTCTGGCCCGTGGGCCAAATTTGGCCCGCAGCCTAATTACATTTGGCCCGCGAAGCCATACCAAATTACTATTAGAGCTGGCCTACTGGTATTATACAGCTAATATATATATTGTTTAGTATTAAGCTTTGCTTGTTCCATATTCAGTTTTCCAGCAAAAAATTGAAAAGATTTTTTTTCAATAAATATTAATGTTAGCCCGCGACTTTGTTCCAGTTTTGAATTTTGGCCCACTCTGTATTTGAGTTTGACACCCCTGCCTTAGAGGGAACAGTTTCTGCCCGCTGTTGGTGGGTCCTGATTACTCTAAGTTTCTTCCAGATGGTAGTGTCAGCATAGGATTAGTTAATGGTCTGTGTGCGTGGGCCTCCCGTAAACTTCAATGTTAAGGTTTCCATTCTCCTCAATGTGCACAGCACAGTCCAGAAACAGCAAATTATTATTATCCTTTGTTATATCACTGAGTTGACCTGAACAATGATTCACGTGAACAATTGGTGTCATCCACGTATCTGTACCAGAGGCTAGGTGCTGTTCCTTTCCTGTTCCACCTAGCCACTTCCACTTCCTCCATACAAAGGTTGGCTAGAATGGGTAACACTGGGGAGGTCATGGCGCACACATGTCCTGATAAAGACCCACATCCTTTTTCATACCTTGGCACATGATCATTAGTAGGTCAATGAAACTCACAAGCATCATGAAACCAAAAATACAACAAGGAAGATCCAGAGTTGCTGAGCAGCTAGAGTCCTCTATCAGACTATTTTGACATGTTTTCCTGCCAGAACATTTGAAAAGAAGATTCAAAAAGAGATAAAAAGAGATATCATATTTTTATTTAAAATGGTACACTTGCTCAGTTTAAACATTTGATAGGTATGTTCTCCTGATTTCTGAGGGGTTTTTTCCAGTTTCCTACCATATTCCAAAGACGTGTATGGGGTCAGGTTGATTGGTTGTTCTAGCATGCCTGTGAGCGTGAACTGTTTTTTCCCTCTGTGTTAGTCCTGTGACAGACTGACAACTTGTCCAGGTTATATCTCTCACTGGGATAGGGGTTAATCAAGGGTTAATCTTAAATTTAAAATGACTAAAAACACATATTCTGAAACACTTTCTGCCCTTTTCACAGGGAAACCGTCTTCAGCCACCCTGGGAGTCTTTATCCTGCACCTCACTCCCCACCGTCTCATCAATAATCACTGAAAGTAGAAGTAGAACCAGCTCGGCTGGAAGCTCTTTGAGCAAAAACCGAAGACAAAGACCAGTTTCTGAGGGCAGCGGTTGTCTGTCCTGGCTGGACCTCCCCAAGCAGGATGAAACCAGTGGAACACAGACTCCTCCTCTAATTCATGTTAGAGAGGAAAAAGAAGAGGGCACAGTCCAGGGTAAACACCTGCAGCTACACGTGGTTATCATGTCGTCTCCTGCTACTTAACCTTACTGATTTCTTCCTGTTTCCAGAAAAAACGCCAGATGAGATGGAGAGCCTCTACAACCATCTGAAAGCAGCCAGCGTCAATCCAACTGGACAGAATTTTCAGAGGGACTTCAGGGCCTCATTTATCCGGCGATGTAAGAATGAAAAAGTCAATGAAAAGGTTCACCTGGTCCGGATACTCAAAAGCACATTAAAGGTGAGTCTGAACTTTTGTCTTTAACTAAATGCCAAAAAATGAAAGGGTTAGGGTACTCAGTTACACATGCTGTTATCAAGTAGCAGACCCTGGGGCTGAAATGTCAAAGGGCCATCATTCATCAGCTGATGGAGGAATCCAAACAGCGTGTTGATTCCTCTAATGGCTGCTTCAGCCTGGCTCCAAAAGTGAGTCAATCCCAAAAGACGTGTTAAAGTGTCCAATTTTACAGTCGAAATTATCATGTTTACAGCCAGTTTAATATAAGAAGTTAAACCACATACTTAGATAATATCAAACAACAAATTCTTTATTTATCCCAAAATTTGGAAAAAATTACTGTGTAACACCAGTCAATTACATAGAAATACACTTACGAATATGATACAGTAAGGAGCTATTCTTGAAAATGAATCCAGGTATCATGGTGGTAAGGATTGTCTGCACCTGTCCTTGAAGCAGCAGAGCTGTAACAGATGTTAGTGTTCGGCTACATGTGTGGTAAGTTGTGCAGAGGGTGTTCAGGATCCTTTATTGTTAATTTAGTTTGGTTGGTGATCAATAATTAATGGTACTCATGGCCATTGATCAGTGGTCTTTGATCAATGGCCAACTGTAATGTTGAATTGCTAAGCTACCAGCTAATGCTAGCTGTCCTGCATAATACAGGGTCAATCGATGTTGACATGCAGACTGACTATCTAAGAAATCCCTAGATTTTTATTTAAGGAGACTACTTCTGTGACTGCCTCTGACTTTATTAATAATAATATCTCCAAACTATTGCTCCAGCCTGAGCTGTTTTCTTGTAGCAGGCTTAAACAGTTTCTTTTCTTCTGTAAAACTGGACATTTTAACAAGGGAGTTAATGGGAACTGACCCGCTTTTGGGGACACCCTACACTAAACATTAGCGTAATCTACACCCTGTTTGGATTCCTCCATGAGCTGATGCCTGATGGAGGATCACCGCATGTTTCTAACACTCGTGTTTTTCAGGCTAAAGAGTCCGAGCTGCTGGCTTTGGAGAAGATCCTGAATGAACCAAATCCCACAGCGCTTATGTACAGGGAGTGGAGACTCACCAACACCATCCTGCTGCAAGATATCCTTCAGCACAACCAGGAAGCAGAGGGTGCCACAAGCCCAGACGGGATAGTGTCTGAGATTTTAGAGCTGCCCAACACTGCTGTACAGTAACATTATGAAGTCTGAAAGACACTGAAAGACAAAAATGTCTAAACCCCACCATCATCCTGTGATGAGGGGAAGTTGGTTCCTACTCTGGATTGAATAACGATGCTACAAGTGTACTCGAGGTTAACTTTTAAATGCTTTTCACCTCACTTCTATTCACGCAGCAGATTGGAATGTTTGCAGGTCTTTAAAGCTTAGGAAACACTGTTTTTAATTTCAAGCCAAAACTTTAATTTGTATTTGATTAATGTTTTTTTTTGACGATTTGCTTTATTTTTGTGGATGTATTTTTTTTTATATATAATTTCTGTTTATTTTATTTAAAAAGAGATGACCTCCACCAAGTAGCTTGTGTGACTTTTTTCAGTTTGTTTCTTTAGCAGGAATACTCATACTATATGTAATGATGGATCTGCATGATGGTTTTATGTGAAATGGGGCTCATTCCAGCTTAGAAGTGACTAAAGTGTTGGATTCAGCAACTTTTGGAAGGATTCTTTGAAATTGGAAAAAAATTGACATGTTGAGTCACAGCTTCACAAATACTTCCATCCATCTTCTTC